TTTATCACTTCAAAACATCAACTCCATCTAGTGTCATTGAGTGATTTTAAGATCTAGCTTTTCAATAAAAATCAACCTTCAGTAAAGCTTCAAAAAAAATGTAAAGTGTTTAGCTGATTTTTCTATAAAGGTGTGTGACAAAGAAATACTGCCCACCTTATTTTAATTGCTAGGACATAAACCCACAATATACAGATTCAGGACATACATATTACAGTATATATATATGGCCAAATAATTTTCTTTTAAAACATGAATGACACCTCCACTGTAAGCCCTTTCATATTTGAGGCACTATCATTAACACCGAGCTCTTAGTTTCCAAATATCAAGATCCAAAGATGATACTTTTTTGGAAGCAAAATTTATTATTAATTATGTGCTTTTGTTGTAGAAACCTAAAAATAATTCCCAAATTGCAGAAATCACTATCCTCATATCTGAATACAATTGCATGTTGCTTTACATGCTGTTTCAGCAGCAGTTATAAGAACAAACCTACATTTTATGGTATTTCATTATTGATATCAGCTAATTTTGATACTTACCTTGAACATTCCCAAATGATTTTTCAAACTTTTCCAAAAAATGTTTGATTAAGAGGTTATCATTTGTTCTCAGTTTCATAAACTCTTAAAAGTTACCCCAATTAGTAGAATCTGCAGTTTCATCATGGTCACACAGCCTTCAAGAGTTGCTTGTTTTCTTCCACTTATTGGCATGTTTTGTACTTATTTTAGAAGTAATGCTACATGTCTTTTGTGAACTTTGCAAATAGAAAGCTTCACAACTGTGGAATGTTTGGTAATGGTATGAATGGAAGCAAAGATGAGCTAAGGCTAATTATTTATTCTCTTCTCCCACTTGGATGTTCAGTGTCAATGTTCTTTCCGCAGCACAAATTGTTTTTTGGAGGAAGGACCATTCCAAATTCCTAGATATTGTCCTGATTTAAAATGTTTCACTAAACAACTTTAGCTTGCAGTTAGAATAATGAATACTGCCAAAATATACATATGAATTAAGTCATGAAAATATTAGTATTGAAAAATGAAGTTGTACATAAAATTCTTACCTCTCAGAGGGAAGAAATCCCATGTTATTCAACTTTTTAAAAAAAAATGTTAGCATGTGATAAAAAGTGACAAAAATAAAGACTTCTCTCTCTCTCTCTCACCTCATATTTCTATAAAATACATGCAAGATATGACCAACAGTAAACTTTCAAAACCACTGCCTGGTTTGTTCCAATAGTTACTCTCTCTCAAGGGCTACTTACTTTTTAGTTTGTATATTAAAGTAAGTATGTGTGTGCATTGTTGGGCTTATGATTCTTCTACAGTAGGTGTCTGTAACTTGTTGGCAATATAAACACTATATAGTTCTCTTCTTTTCAAAAAGTCCACTTAGGCCTATTCAACTGCTTTAGAATTTCAGTTGACAACCCAAACTATTTTTCTCTATTACTATTGCCAAACTATCCGAGCATAGTTCACTTACACTTTGTTGAGTTACCACGGTTGTATCCTATACTTCTACAATCAACTGCTCCATTTTCTCTCTTTGTATTTCCGAGAATCGTCTGCCTATTTGTCAAAGTCTACTGAGGCTAGTTCAATTACTTTAGAACTCTCTTTGACAAAATAAACTATTCTTCTTATCTCTTTCAACACCATTAGTCTCACACTATTACGTATCAACTGTTAGGCCTATGTTAATCGTTAGACCTTCAACTCTCCACGATGATTAACTTTTTATTGGCCAAACTCCTTCTTGTCACTTTGCTCTGCCTATCTGCTGTTTTCTGCTCATCTCATGCTATCTATATGTTTATTACTTAATCGTCTGCTCACTATATCCTCAACATCAATAAATTTCATGCAACATTCTATAACCTCGACATCAATGAGTTATAAGCACAACGTACTACTCTTACTAAATTATATAACTAAACTTGTTATAACATCTACTTTAAAATAATTGCTTCTAACTCTCTTGTTATGAACAAAACTAAACAATCACAAAATATTCACTCACAAAATAAGTTAGTCAATAATATCTACACTAAACAGTCTTTTATATCTTGACACTATCTCATTTTAAAATGTTCAATTTTCCAACAGAAAGCTTGCTTCTACAACTGGATGATTCCCTCAATCGATTGACATAATTGATTACATCAAACAGTGTAACATAAAATAATTGATCAAGAGAAATCAAGATTAAATCATTTTATGCCATAAAAGCAATCAGGTAATTGAAATTAGTATTTCCAATTATACTAACAACCAAAGTAATTGAAATATTGCCATTAAGATTTCTCATTTTTTATTAATTTAAGGTTGTTTAACTTAATTGATTTCTGTCACAACCCATGAAAATAATCAATTAATCAAAATTATTTTTCACAATTATCATTATTTTTTTTTAATTATTCCAACTATCCAAGTCTCATGTGAGAACAACTTATTAAGGAGCCCAACAATTAACTGATTATCAAATTCAACTAACTGTCCACCTTTACATATTTCCACATATTAATAACACTAAAGTATTTAACTTACTATCTATTGGTTAAAATAATATCTCTGGTAGGCACAGTGAAAAAAAAAGTTTGAAGATCATCATGATGTTTTTCAGCCGTGAGCTACTTTTCGAATGATATAACAGGCTCATTAACAACTAAAGTCATGTTATCTTTTAAATTATGAAATTTACTGATGTTGTCCCACTATAATTAAAGGAGATTTAAAGTTATTTAAATAACAATTAGATGCTTAGAGATATCAACCTTTTTGGAGAATAGAACAATGGAGGATTGAATTTTCATTGTTAATGTTTGAACTTGTTAGAAGTTTGAAGGCTTTCTATAAAAGGTTTCTTTGGTAAATAAAATATGGAAATGTTATCTTGATAATAGACATTAAGACTTTAAAGTCAAGATACTTGTTTTTTTGTTTTATTTGGGAAAGTTTTATTTTATATCCAAGGGACATGATAACGCCACTTAGCCCATCTAGGCTATCCTATTTTCTACTACCACCCTACTCTAAGCTATATAAAGTTTTTCTTGTATACAATCTTCATCTCAAAAACACTCGTCCAGTCTCTGCTTGAACTCGATTTCTACCACACCTGAAAGCAAACTACTCTATATGCCTACTGCTTGAAAAGTAGCACTGCCTTAACTAAAGCCATGCCCAAGTTTTCCCATATTAATGTCACAAGTGGAGTGCCTCAGGAATCATTGTTACAACTTTTGCTTTCTTTGATTCACATCAATGACATTGATGAAGAAATGGCCAATAAATTACTTAAATGTCCTAATGATATTGAGGTCTTTGGTGTTGCTAGTTGTAAGGACGATGCCACTACTTTATAAAAAGACTTAACTTATATGGTAAGTTGGCAAAATAAATGGCACATGGCTTTTAATTATCATAAATGCAAAGTAATGCATGAGGGTAATCATAGTTTGAATTACATGTAAAATTTTGATGGGAATAACCTTAACACTAACATAACAGTGTTATGGTAGATAAGGATCTTGGTGTTCTGACTGACCAATCACTTAAGCCATCTAAATAGTATGCCGTTGCTAGTGGTAGGGCACACGAGTTTTGATCGTATCTACATAAATATTAAATACATGTCTAGCCAAGTTCTAATTTCATCATATAGATCAATTATTTGGAGTGTTGTGTTTAGTCTTGGGTTAATTACAATAAGAAGGACAATGAATTGTTGGAAAGTGTTCAGAGGAGGGCTACTATGATGATACATGATATGGAAAGGTTGCCATTCGAGTGAAGACATTTAAGATCTCTGAAATCATTTTCTCTTGAAAAAAGAAGAGTTTGAAGGAATCTCATTGAGGTACTTAAGATTGTTAAACAAACTGATAGTGTCAGTGCATCATCTTTTTGTACTTAATGGTGTGAATGACAGGTCTATGGGACACAAAAATTTCATCAGTCATCTTCAGCTAAGACAGTTATTTTTTCCAAGAAGGTAATAAGCCTTTGAAATGGCTTGCCTTCAGATATGGTGGATGCATAAATTTAAGGAAGGCTTGATAAATATATGAATGATAAGAGCCAGTTCTGAGTTTATTTATATTTCTTGTATGTGAATAGGTCAGCCTAGATATATCAGTAAGCTCCTTGTTGTCCTTAAATATTATGTATTAGCTTTCCTACTACTAGTGACAAAGCACTGCCTCAGTGGTTTTAACAACTTCTTCACAATACCCAGATCCTTCAAAACCCTGTTGAGTAGGTTCCTATCTATATTAAACAAGTGATTCAAATAATAATCAGAAAGATCTTACACTTACTATAATTAAAAGTAATTTCCAAATATTTGTCAAATAACCAACTGATCCAAGTAATTCTGTAGTACTCCAACATCCTCAATACAGCTAAAATTAGAAGTTTCAAAGTGTTTAATATCATCTGCAAACTTTATTGAATATAATAAAGAATAAGATGCAGAGGCACCCGAAACAATCCATTAGTAGTAGTAACAATAGTGTATGTGTTTTGTTTTTTTATAGCAAAGCCATATCTGACTATCTGCTTTGTCCACCAAGGGGAATCAAACCCCTGATTTTAGCATTGTAAATCTGTAGACTTACCATTGTCCCACCAGGGGACAATAAAGGTGTAAAGCAATGATTAAGATTCTGATAGAAAACACTATATAAATTTTTCTTAGAATAAGTAAGATATAGTATCACTAAATAGAAGTAATACCTTTTGAAGAACATTTGAGTTGAAATAATATATCCCTTGCACATTTTGGGGACACTTCAATAATATAATAATGTTTAAAAATTTATGTATTATTTAAACACAGCCAATTTTTGAATGTTTTATTTTCCTAAATCTATGATAATGGACCAAAACCATTACAAATTAATCATTTATTCTGGATACAAGAAAGAAAACAAAAAAGTCAAATTCAATGAATGTTTAATTTTAAGATAACTGATCACTAACCTGCAAAGATTCCTTTCAGAGTTTTTTGAGAAGGAAGAATAGAGGTTGCTGAAAGTGCAGCACCTGATGACACCATGGTTGGTCGCTCAAATGGATTCCTAAAATGACTTTTATTACGATCCATGACTCCTTTGCTGCCTGCCATTAAATAATAATCTTGTGAATTATAGTTCTCAAGGATAAGTTTTAACAGTTTCAGTGTGTGTGCTAATTTAACAATAATAAAATATATTTTCTAGCTTTACTCCCAAACTTGCACATTTACAATTACATAACTGATGTTAGCTTGGCATACCTCAATAATTAGGCCTATAATAATACTAATAATATTTATATTCCCAAAATTCTAAGTAATAAATAATTCCATTAACAAGATTATTCGGTAAAAAGAATTTTTTTAAAAGCACAGCTTTGATGACAAGTATTCATAACACAAAAAAATTTGTTTCATTCAGGATGACTTACCATTTTCACTTTTTTTAAGTATATGGGCCTAAGAATTTAACTTAAAAGTGAAAATGATACATACTGAATTTCATTCAGTCAAACTCTGAAGTTTGGCAAATGCTTGGGTAATGACATTATCAATATCATAATTATGATCTAATCTGTCTACACTATAACTATAACTTATAAAAATAAGTATAATTTATAGTATAAGTATGATTAAAAATATGGTGGCGTTTTTAAAAAGAATCCATACCTACAGTAAACACAAAATCTTGAAAGTCTCAAAAATCTCAGTCCTACGTTTCTTGTTCTATTCCGAATGAGTATTCGATAAACAAGTTGTAACGTACTGAAATTTGATAATGTTAGAAATAGAAGTGAAACAGCCTAACACACATTAACCAGCTAATGATAAATTCTCACAAAAGTAACTAGTATTTTGACCTACTTAATTTTCTAAACAAAAATGTATCAGTGTCCTCAAACCTAGTAGTATCACAAGTTTTCCTTTTAATCCATGATTGGTCTATAAAACTACACCTCCATCCTATCAAACTCTCAGATTTTTATCAGCTGAACCTCTAATGTCTGCTTCTTTTAAAAAGGTCAAGACAGCAAATGACTAGTTTACGATTAATTAACAGCGCCACAGCGCGAACAGTTTCTCAATCAACTAATGGGAACAAGACACAGGCTACTTTAACATTTATAGGTCACGTTTTTATGGCCTCCACCAAGCCTTTCCACAATAATAATATTACTGTCGACATAGAGAATTTTCTACTTCTTGGATTAGAGTGTCTTCATTTTAAATTACCTCTGGTTTAGGCTTGAAAAAAAGAAGAGTTAGATAGAATCTGATTGATGTGTTTAAGATTCTTAATGCATCACCATCATATTTTTCTATACTTAATTATGGGAATAAAACGATAAAAACCCTATAACCTGAGTGCTTTCGAAAGGTGTTCCCTAAAGAACCCCTGAAGAAGAAAGGTCCACATTTAGAAAGTGTTTGGGCTATAGGGTTTTATAGTTTTAAATTAAGACTTCTTGAACCTACATGTTTTTCTGACATCATGTAATTATGAGAATGGTAGGTCTAGAGGTCAAAGTATCAATTTTAGCAAAGTAAGAGTCATCTTCAGTCAGCTTTATTTTACTAACAGGGTGGTTGGCCTTTAGAATGAGTTGCCTTCAGATGTTGTGGATGCAGTAATTTAATTTTAAGAATGGCGTGATAAATGTTTCAATGATAAGAGTTACCTTTGACCTTTTTTTCATGGTCTAACAACTCATTGGTATCCTTAACTTTTATATTTGTTAAAATAGCTGCTAGTATAGCAATTTCATTCGTCAAGAAAATGAGAATCATAAAAATAAACGTATTGTAGCTTTGAGTGGATTATCTATTTCTTCATAGGTGATAAATGTTGCACATTCTACTACATCATTGTAAAAATATTGTTGCGTCAACGA